ACATATGCCAAACGAGCCTAGATTGGCAAGATTCCTCGAAACAGCTGGCTCTGTGTTAAATTATTTCGAACCATTCTTAGGTAGAATCGAAATTTTAGGTGGTAATAAGAAAATAGAACGGGTATATTTCGAAATCAAAGAATCAAACATAGAACAATGGGAGAAACCACAAATCAAAGAATCAAAAAGAACATATTTCTATAATACAGTAGTAGAAGCTGGTGAAAAAGAAAAATTAGAAACGTTTATTAATTTTTGCGAAGATGCGATATTTGAAATGCAACATGCGAGTGCATTAATGGCAGTAGAAGAGAGTGGTGGTATTGGTAAAGCTAGAGAATCATCGTATACATACATGTCGGAAGATGACGAAGAAAGAAACAAAGATCCTATTAGGAGAGGTATACAAGCATTCAAGGATGGCATTTATTTCTTCTTTTCAATGTTCTCACCGACAAATATTAAGAACAAAATAACAGAGATGCAACAAATGACGATACCTGAATTATTTATTGGCTTTTTCAAAATGATATTTTATGCGTTTTATTATTCCGGATTTGGTGTTGGTTGTGTCATTGGTTATTTCATGAAATTATTGTTAACATTGATGAGAGGACCACATATGGATGAACCAGCTATTGAAATTAAAGAAGAAGAAGAAAAACCATTGAGACATTTACCTGCATTACCTCCAACGCCGGATGAATCTAATTTACAGGTTTATTTATACATATTATATAATATTATACGAAACATTAAATTGTTTATACAATGTTCTCCTTGATAAAAACAGGTACAAGCTTTCGGAATGGATATAACAAAAGAGGAAGGTGGTCAAATAAAAATAGCACCACACGAATCGTCAACTTCAACACCACAATCGAGTATCGAGGAAACTGGTGAAAGTACTCCAGACGAGGGTGGTGGTGAGGAAGGTGCAAGGACAGGTGATGGTACTGGAGAATCTGATGCACCTGTTAAATTCGTCGATTTACTTGGGTACAATCATATTTATTAATATTACAATTCATTTCATTTGATCTAACAATTAAAATCATTTTCTATGAAATTTGTAGTACTGGCGAACAAGCAAGGGCCCAAGCAGCAGCAGCAGCTGAAGCGGCAGCTGCTCAACAAGCAGCAATGGCAGCTGTTGAAGCTGAAGCAAAACAAGAAACAATAACCGAACCATCGGCTGCATCGTCAATTGATTTTTCGGAATATACTCATCGTATTGTCTCATTTTTGGCTAGAAACTTTTATAATCTTAAATACGTTGCCCTTGTTCTTGCCTTCTGTATAAATTTCATGCTACTGTTCTACAAGGTAAATAAATTATGAATTATGAACATTCAAGTTCCTAACGCCAATTAATAATAATAATAATAATAATAATATATTTTATAATGTTCATTTTATATGATATTTTGATTAGGTTACATCTCTAGCTGGGGATTCTGACGATGATGGTATTGATGATACCATGGCTGATATATTAGCTGACATGTCGGGTGAAGGTTCATCTGGTTCAGGTGGTAGTGGTTTAGAAATTGGTAGTGGTAGTGGTGAAAATGATTCCGAAGAGGAAGAAGAAGATCCTATGGAATTTGTTGAAGTTTCGGAAGATTTTTATTACATGGCACATGTTATGAGGCTAATGGCTGCTTTACATTCAATCGTTTCTTTAGCAATGTTGGTTGCTTATTATCACCTTAAGGTATAAATCAAGTCATCTAAATGAATTTTAATTATTCATCTTGTTTGTTTTTATCTTAATGTGAAAAATAATTTGATATACAGGTACCATTAGCTATATTCAAACGTGAAAAAGAAATTGCGCGACGTGTTGAATTCGATGGTTTGTACATTGCTGAAAGTCCTGAGGAAGATGACATCAAAGCACATTGGGATAAAATGGTAATATCGGCTAAAACATTTCCCGTTAATTATTGGGACAAATTTGTCAAAAAGAAAGTTAGACAAAAGTACAGCGAGACGTATGATTTTGATTACATCAGTAATTTACTTGGCATGGAAAAAACATCTTTCAGTCAACAAGAAGAAGAAGGTTCTGGTTTGATACATTTGTAAGTTGGACAATATTATCACAAATAATTCAGAATTGATCTTGAAAATTAATTTGTTCATCTCATTACATTATATTTTTGTTTATACAGTATCGTAAATATCGATTGGAGATATCAAGTATGGAAAGCTGGTGTCACCATCACAGATAATGTAAGAAATATTAAAAAGAGAAAATTGTTTTTATGAGGAATAAAATATATGGAATATATTTAATAAACAAAATATTATTGTTTTTTTTTTATTTTTTTTTTTTTTTAGGCATTTCTATACAGTCTCTGGTATTTCACATTTTCGATTTTGGGAAATTACAATAACTTTTTCTTTGCTGCTCATCTGTTAGACGTTGCGGTTGGTTTCAAAACATTGAGAACAATCTTACAATCCGTAACGCACAACGGAAAACAATTGGTGCTAACAGTAATGTTATTAACAATCGTAGTATACATTTATACCGTGATAGCCTTCAATTTCTTTAGAAAATTTTATATTCAAGAGGAAGACGATGAAGTTGATAAAAAGTGTCACGACATGTTAACGGTATGTGAATAATTCAAACATCTATGCTAAAAATGTGTTGCATGATATTTATTTATTTGTTTATTTTCTTTTCAGTGTTTCGTTTTTCACTTATACAAAGGTGTAAGAGCCGGTGGTGGTATTGGTGACGAAATTGGAGAACCAGATGGCGATGATTATGAAGTTTATCGTATCATGTTTGACATTACATTCTTTTTCTTCGTCATCGTTATTCTTCTCGCCATTATTCAAGGTATAATTCGAATTTTTATATACCTATAATTAAAAATATATTTGATATTTATATTTACCATAATTTGTTAGGTTTAATCATCGACGCTTTTGGTGAACTTCGTGACCAGTTGGAAAACGTCAAAACAAATATGGAAAGCAATTGTTTCATATGTGGTTTAGGAAAAGAATATTTTGACACGGTACCACATGGATTCGATACTCACGTTCAACAAGAACACAATCTTGCAAATTATATGTAAGATTATTATCTTTTTTCTTTTTTTACAAACATTTGTACGTATTAATAACAATATATTTATATAATATTTTGTTAAATTATTATTAGGTTCTTCCTGATGCATCTAATCAACAAACCAGATACAGAATACACGGGTCAAGAAACTTACGTCTGGAATATGTATCAACAAAGATGTTGGGATTTCTTCCCAGTCGGTGATTGCTTCCGCAAACAGAATGAAGCAGTTGAAGAAGAAACTAAGAAGAAATAAATGAAACGATCTATTTTTCTTTATTTTATTTATTGTTTTTTTTTTTTTTAATTATTTATTTACATATATTTTACATGCGTGACGTGATCAATTCGATCGACTTAATTCTACTTCCCCCCCCCCCTCCAAAAAAAAAATGAAAGAAAATGTTTACTTTACAAGCACTTTCCAAAATAACAATGTGTATTCTTAAAATAAGGGCCAAAATTCTATGAACATACATATATATATATATATTTTTGGAAATTGCTAATATTATTTTTGTGTTTGTCATTTGAACAATTTTTTATCATCTCACCATTGAAGTGTTCTTTTTTTTGTTTTTGTTTTTTTTCATTCAACATTTGTGACATAATTTTTGGAAATACATTCTGTGTTATATTATCGCGCGACCTAACACACAAACAACAACAAACACATACAAAACAAACAAACAAAAACATACCTAACACTTAGGAAGTAAAAATACGTCGAATGTTGATTAATTAAAAGTTACAACACATATTTTTCCAACTTTGTAATCGTAGATACGTCGTGACCGGTTAAATCGGAAAATAATTCATGTTTTTTAGATAAGTAAATTTAATCGAATGATGAATATATATATATATATATATATCTTCGACCAGTACAACTTTAGTATCTCGATCGATAAATAAAAAAAAATACATACATACATACATACATACATACATACATACAAGAGACAAACAAACAAACAAACAAATAAACCCAAAAAAAAAACTTAAAATGAAGATATAAGATATACAAAAAAAGAGGACTGCACAAAAATCAACATATTCATATAGAATTCTAATTGCCTTCTTCTATTATGTCGATAACCGACCAAACAAATCGATCCATATGCATATAAATCCATTATTATAATAATAATTATAAATAATAATAATAATATAATATATTAGGATTGAGAAGCGTTTGCGGTGTGACGCAATTTAGGATGTAAGTTAGTTGATCGCGTTTAAAGTTTATATCATTAAATTATAAGTCGCGTGTATTTCTCAAAAATATCAACAACAAAAAACAAACAAACAAAAAAGGGAAATCCCCTTTTTTTTTTTTGGAGTACGATCGATGACTGAATTCTCTTTTACGGTTTGTCCGTAAATGTCAATACATACATATATATATACACACATATATGTATATATATATTGTACATAAAAATTCTACGTCAAGAAGAGATTAACAAATTCAAAGAATAAAGAAAGAATTAACTTCTTTATCGCACGTTATTTCTTGTCAATGTGTTCGTTCGTTTACCAACCCGTTAAAAAAAAAAAAAAATACAATAATTCACAATAAACCAAAAGGGGTAAAATATTTGCAAAAATTTATGGTTCATTCAAAAATCATTTTTTGATGAATAACAAGTCAAGTTATCTTTAAGTAAAATTATTTGTATAAAAATTAAAACGAAAACAAAAAACAAAAAAAAAGATTTTTCGATGTCCATTGAATTTAAATTTAAATCAAAAGAAAAAAAAACCCCCATAAAAAAAAAAAGAACATGGTAATTGTGTCGTCGTTGTTCCATCGTCGTCGTCGTCGTCGTCGTCGTCATCATCATCATCGGGCGTCATAAACGGCGCAAAAGCAATAGAGAAACCAATACGTATATTCCCCTGATGTTTCCCTGAAATAAGAAGAAAAAAAAAAAGTAAAAAAATATATATATGTATACCGTTGTGTAAATGGAGGGAAGAAGGAGGTCGCGCAAGCGCTTAGGTTAGGCGCCGGTTAAAAGGCCCGGGGCAAAGATGCACCACCATGGCATGGGAGTGTCAATGGGCGATCGTCACGGTGTTCAAAATTCAACGATGCAGCCCAGGAACGGAGTTTGCGACAAAATTGAAAATTATATATCCGAGCTTGGACATTGGTACGTGAGAATTATCTCCCATTATCGTGAAATTAAATGATCTGACTGACCTTTGAGGGGGTGCAGAGTGGATATCTTCTCACCCTCTTCTAACCGGTGTTCCATACGTTAATGCTAAAGGGGTGAGGAGGGATACGCTCCAGGAACGAAAGTGGCGGGTGTTTTTACGATTTATAACACCACACTCAGTTCGACCCCTTTTTTTGTGTTTTTCTTTTCTTTTTGTGCTTTTTTATTTCAAACATCCCTCCTTTCCTTCTTTTCTTTTTTTTTTTCAAATCGTAGTTTTTATTTTCTGTCTTTTTGTTTTGTTTCAATGAACGAAGATTTATTTATTTCTTATTTTTTTTTTTTATCTTTTAACATTTGATCGATATATATATTTTATTAAAACGACGATTTGTTTTTATTTATTTTCATTTATCATTAACCGCTAACGAATTAATAAAAAATTCAATTCTTTATTATTTTATTGAAATATTAAATAATTAATTTTTCTTTTCTTGTTTTTTTTTTTTTTTTATATTTATAGGGCCGTATGGCGTGTAATAATAATGGGCCAATTCTTGTCATTTTCATTATGCTCCATGACACTGTATAATCATCACATCAACACTACTTTACAATTATCTATACCAACAGGTAAGATACTAACGATTACATCCTTTATTTGTTAGTTTGACAATAAAATATTTGTTAGAAATCATTCAACTATACTTACCAACTTAATTCAAATTAGTTGTTAATAATGTTTTATTACGATGATATTCAAGAATCAAGGAAGATTATTTTTTTACCGAGACAGGACAAAATTTGCCACATTACGCTATGATGTGCCTAGTATACACAACGTGGATGTCATGTAGGGGGGGTGTTGGAAATGGTTTATTATCTGTTATAAAAGCTCGTGGTTGGAGGTATTTGTTGTTAGCACTGATAGATGTTGAAGCGTGTACACTTATTTCATCGTCCCATCGTTTCACCAGCCTTGCCAGTATACAGGTAAACTAAATATCTTATTCTTAAATCGATCAATTTTTCCACAACACTGCAAATTGATTATCCTTTTACTCGTAAATAATATTTTTTTTATCGAACTAACCACTTGTTGTTTTATAAATCGATATTATTATATTTCTTTATATCGGATTTAATGTTTAAATCATTTCAGTTACTCGATTGCGTTGCAATACCAGTGGCATTGGCACTTTCTTGTTTAGTTCTCGGAGTAAGATACAGGATGGTTCACATAGTTGGTGTTTCCATATGTCTGATGGGTGTTGGATGTTTAGTTTGGGCGGGAATTCATGACAATAAAGATCCAGCATCTACCGGTAATTATTTATAAATTATCAAAATCAATCACATCTTATCAAATTTTCATTGAAGAGAGTTTCAATCTTAACTTATTATCGATCTTTATAACAAAAAAAAAACAAATAAAATAAAATCGAATTATGTATTTATATATGCAAAGGTAAAAATCAATTAGTCGGCGACATGCTTTGTCTCGGTGGTGCCGTTTTGTTCTCGATAACTACGGTACTTCAAGAATTGGCTGTTAAAACGGTCGATATTATCGAGTACTTGGGTATGATTGGTTTCTTCGGCACGATATTGAGTTGTATGCAAATGTAAGTCAATGTCATTGTCTATAATTTTCGATTTTTTTCTTATCGATATCGACGATTACTTTTTAATCTTTCATATACATAGATGTATTTTTTTTTTTCTTTTTGTTCGTCAAATCTCTTTGATTTTTAGAGCAGTCCTTGAAAGACTTCAAATCGAATCGTTTCAATGGGACAACGTACACATCATTTCATCCTTGATAACATACTGCATCATACAATTCGTATTTTTCTCACTCGTTCCTGTTGTATTAAATGAATCCGGTGCAACGGCATTGCAATTAGCTCTTTTAACTGCCGATTCTTTCAACATTTTATCTGGCATGCTGATACATCAATATAAGGTAAAATACAGAATGATATATCCTATTTATTCAGAATTTATACTCTACATAAATAATTAATAAGGGACAATGTAACCCTTTGTACGAATAATGCATGATGCTGTTAGAAAACTGAGAAAGTGAGAGAGAGAGAGAGAGAGAGAACGAAGTTGTTTACTTTGTTCCAGTTTCACGCCTTGTATTTTGTCTCTTATGCGCTCATAATGACAGGCATATACATTTATGCCATAAAGAGGACACCTATGTCATCGAACTCACGAAGACAACACATCGAGCTTCCTGCTCCAGATTACAGGTAGAGTTCAACGTTTACTCATTTTTTTTTTTTTTTTTAATCATATCGAAGTTCTTTATTAATATAATAATAATAGTAATAATAATATACTTTGAAGTAATTTGATTAAAAGTTATTTTTTTTTTTTTTTTAAGAAATAAATAATAATATAAATTAAAATAATGTTTTATCGATAATCGTTGGGTAAGTGAAATTAATTTAGAATTTAAGAATATAATAATAAAAAGAAAATATATGTGTGTAGATCACACAATTTAGAAGTGAAACCTTTAAAAAAGTAAATTTCGAGAGTTCATAGTATCAAGAGTAAGATAATTTATTATATAATATTATTATAATTATTTATTTAATAATTATAAAAAATGCGCGCCTGTAAGAATGCAACCCTCCAGACACTGTTTGAAAATGTTGCTTACGAGCGACATCTACTGAGACGAAATTTTTTTGCAGCCCAAACAGTTTATACACGCATGTATTACGGATTGCCTATATTTCGGGCAAGAAAAAAATTCCGTCCCAACAGATGGCGCTCGCAAGCAACATTTTCAAACTGTGTCTGAAGGGTTGCATACTTACAGGCGTAATATTTTTAACAAATAATGACAAAAATTAAACTTAATAATGAAGTTTTCATTTCAATTATAATAATAATAATAATAATAATAATTAGCAAATAAGAAATAAGGATTGTAAAATGTTGGCAAATAATTGACCGAGCGTCGATTAAAGTGATATAATTTTAAGACACATGTCGCACGGCGATGTGGGTGAAGTGGAAATGGCAACGAGTTCCGGTATGTCAGCAGTGAGCGGTACTCTTGACATAAGAGCGTCCACTCTTGGTAGTGAAAGAGAAACAATTGATGCTACGAGTTTACCCCTTAGCGTCAGTTCTGACACAGCATTTACATCGTTCTACGGTAGTCAAGCAAATCTAAAGGTAGAGTTTGGATCGATATGATCGAATAACAGATAACATTGATCTTATCCAAAAGATTATTATAAAAATAATCATTATCTACTTTACATATTCAATATCAAATGTATACATTTGTAATCCTTTCGCTACGTGCGTATTTTCCGCGGTGCTACTTCTACTGTATGGGATATTTAATACGTGCAGCAGCATCGAAATTGCAATTTATTTTTAAGTAATTTTGTCGTTGATATTAACGATTTTTAAATAAAACACTAAAATTACACGTTTAGAGTGAGATATTTGACGTTCTATAACTGCATATGTTTGTCATATGTCAAATACGCGGTATTTTATGGAGGGCCACTATAGTGATCCGTAGTAGCGAAAGGATTAATCTCATATATTGAATTGAATGAATGATTTTGTTTTTAGGCTAATAACGGGAACACTGGTCCTGCCTGTAATTAACAAGGTAAATTGGAAACAACTGCCTAGATAAAATATAAATTTAAGTTCGAAGGCAATTATAACTTCGTATGGGACGTAAAGAAGATACAACACATGACGATACAATAAAATGGGGGACTCGAAGATAAGACAAAAAAATAATGAAGAACAAAAGAAAAAAACAGAAAATTAAATACGAAAGAATGTTTATATATATATATATATCGAAATAATTAGTTACCAATCGTAATAGTACCATTTTAATATTATATTTTGTAGATAGAATTATTAATATTATATCTCTTCCAAAGATCAACCACCAAAAAATAAGATAATGATGATGATGATGATGATGATGATGATGATGATGATGATTTTAGGATTATGGAGGAGAATAATTCATTAATTTTCACTTAATTACTTTTAACTCACATGACGCACAATTTTCTCTAATTATTATTAATTATATCCCATAATGACAATATCGGCAGCACGAGCGATTTATGTTCTATTTGAAATGCTTATGGGGGTTACTGGCCTATGTGGTGTCCGGTGACTAATTATTGCATGCTCCTGCCTTTAGAATAGTACACGAATTTAAGGATAATAATAGATGACAAAAAAAGATAACGGTGGATGACGATAAAATGATGAAATAATATTGTCAAAAACTGTTGTCATGACGTTTGATCAACAACCATTTCTCTTATCTTACAATTACTTAGAAAAGAAAAGAAAAGAAAAAAAAAAGTGATACGATGATACTTTACGAGTCATTTTTCTACATTAGTCGTAATTCGGTTGTGCGTATCTATATACATACACGTAAAAATATATATACATATACATATTGTACAAATATATATATGTATACATATATATATAAATAAATATGTCACAAAATATTTCTTGACAATGGGTACAAGTAAAACGAACGTATTATGAACCGACGATTGAATCTTTATTCAAAAAAAAAAAAAAGAAAAAAAACATTCACTAAGTATTGTCATTAACATTTACATAATAGTCACGAGTGCAATTCTCGAAATTCTTTTTAATGAGATTAAAAAGAGGGGGAGGGGTTCATCTCAAAGAGATGTGCGTGCCAACTATCTTAATAAATTATTATTTTTAGTAGGAGTTGGAAGGGGTAAGGAGGATAAATAATAATTAGATATTTATCTTATAACTGTTTCAATTTTGATTATTCATTAATGTAAATTATGTCACGATGATCTTTCTTATTTTCTTATTAATGAAGAACATTTGTAGAAATTGATATTATTATTATTTCAAGCATACATTATGTACAGTTAAGTGTTTATATATTAATATTCTATATAATTAATGAATAATAATATGATTAAATGCATTAACAAGCATTATTATTCGTTATTCGATATGGTTGAACTATTTAAAAGGTTTTGTTACAAAGTCCATCAAAAAATCAATAAAGCGAATAACACATGATCAATTAATCTACAATTTATTTATCAGTCCTTTATTAATGTCGTATATTTATAATTAGTTTTATTCAATATAATTTTTTTTTTTAAATAATTTTCTTCGAAGTATTGAAACAAATAATGATCAATTTTTTTTTTTGTTTATTCCGCTTACAGTCTGTGGATGGAATAAATAAAGATTATAACAAATGGTAGAATAAATGAGACTTACGTTTTGCGAATAAAGTTTTACTAAATATAATATGCATAATTCTTAAAATATCAGCTTATGAGAATGAAATTGTAAGAAGACAAGTGCACTTCTTCTCTTCGTTCGAAAGGAAAGTCTTATCGACTAATTATAATCCTTATTTAATATATATAGGTATATATTTACCATACATATATATCAAACGTATGTGCAATAAAAAAGAGATTATTCTAATTAGACGGTTCGTAATCCTTCAGACTTTGCAAATATTATCGATCTGTGAACCCTTTAAATATAGCTATCTTAATGAAGATCGAATCATTTCATAGAACCATGTCACGACAATCGGTAGTTCTATCAATACTCTCTTACATTTTATTTGTTACGTTGTTAAACAACGTAACGTGCAAAGTAATTCCACCTTCTGCACCATGGGCAAGTTTTGCTTCGAAATCAAGTAAGTATATTTATATATATATATTTATTTATTTATTTATGGATTTTCTTGTTACCCATTTCGTAAAGAATTAATTGTTACCTTAAACTTTAGTTTATTCGAGGTCACTTGGACCACCTGTATCTGGATTTAGCACCATAAGCATACCGTATATGTCCAAGTCACCGTTCTTTCCAAAATTCATTGATCCTAAAGATATGATTTCTAAAAAGACTGATTTATTGAGCAATCTTTTTGGTGGAATGGGTACAGTTCCATTGGCTGCGGATAATTCCAAATTATTACCAAACAGTTTGTTGCAATATCCTACAGTGGATGATCAAAGTGATTCCACTGATACAAAGTTAAATGACATTGCTCAACTGTACGGAGTTTCCAAATTAAAATCTCCATTATCGTCACAAGAAACTAAAAGAAGTGCGACCTTGCTCGCTAATGATCCAGAACCTTCATCGAAAGATACAACGTCCAGTGATAAAACTGAAGCTAAAGATCCTAACTCATCTACCAGCGATAATGATTCGAAATCTGAAGAAAGTGAAACACCCGAAGACAAGTTAAAGGTAAAGGAATATCTTCCAGGAATGTTCTCCCCATTTGTCGTAGATCCATCGATGTTTATCGAAAAAAAATATTCCTTTTTGGATACACTATTTAAAAATCTTGCAACCACTACTGCTACTCCAAGTTTTGCCGAAACGACAGCAAAAAGTACCATCGTACCACCTGAATTTTGGATTCCAAGTTCTCCGTTTGCCGATCCAACGGAATACAATGACAAAATATCGTCATTTTTGGATAAATTATTCGAGAATTTAACATTGAACAAGACTAAGGACGAAACATCATCTTCAGTTTCTGGTCCGAGAGTTGCAAGATCGATCGAAGATGTATCTTCAATACTAGCTGCTAAAGATGCTTTTGTAGATTCGATACTAATGCAATTGAGTACTTTGAAGGACGAAATGATTTCGGTTCTAAACGATACGATATCTTATCAGAAATCTTCGGGTCTTCTGTCATCGTCTATGGTACCAAAGAAACCATTTTTACCAAGCATGTGGGTGAAACCAACGGCAGATACGATGTTACTTTACAAACAAAAAATGCAATTTCTTGATCAAATGTTCGATATGTTGCTCGAATTGCAAAAGAATGTATCAGCTAATATTTTAGAAACCGTAAAGTCTGAACTGAATACACAAAGTGATGTTCAATCGTCTAATCTCATCGACGAACCTTTGGCACCTGTCGACGAAAATTTGCTAAATCAATCTCTGTTGGATGTCATTAAGCAAAGTTTAGCACAAAGTGTTCAATACCCAGCAGCAACTGTTTCTAAAGGTGCTGGCAAAAAAGTATCTCGATCTGCACCAAGTGCAACTTCATTTTGGGTTGCTTATCCGGACAGTGCTCATACCGTTGCTAAACGACACGCTCCTGCAAATAATTTTCAATATCCTTCACGATCAGGAAATAATTTTAATAATTATCCACAAGATAAATTGGATCCGATGGAATTTTCACAGAAATATGACAAGGAAAATACCAATTTCGATTACGTAAGTTCACCATATGTCTTTATGTAATATTATGATCATAATAATATTTGGATCTATTTAATTAATGGGATTTAAAGTATAACAAAATATGAGTTTTATAATGAAGCAATGAAAGAATCATTTTTCATACATGCAATACAAATGAACGTGTTATTCGTATGTCATAGGATATTGATGGGCAAAGAGATAATATAAAGAAATTTAAAGAATATGTTAAATGGATGGATTATATTATGAACGAACGCAAGGAGGGCAAGCATCGTCATCATCATCATTATTTTTAAGTCATTTCTAAAAATTGATTAATATTATTATATCTCAAAATTCGAAATACTAAAATACTAAATCGTGTAGAAGATTTCAATTCTATAAATAAAATTCTTGAAAAACAATTTAAAAAAAAAAAAATATATACAACTGACAGACTTAACTAATTATTTCATTGTAATAATTATTTAAACTTTGTTAGTCGATCAACGATAATTTATGAAATAATAAAGATGAAAATAATAGATAATTGAATTTTTATTAACAATGAATATTATATCTGCAGGTATATTGTGTAGTATTAAAGTTTACTTAATTTTTATTATTTCCCTGAATTATGTATGCAAGAATTTGTCGTTGCATACTTATCTTATTTTTTATCGCTCATCACAAATAGCTTGTGTCATAAGAGTAACTTCTGATGACTACATTTTATGACTCTAAGGGCATAATAACACACACATAAACACAATCCTGCATCAAGTGCATTGTTACGTTATTCTGCAATCAGCAATGCATTGCACGCAGGGTAGCGTTAATGTGTTAGGAAGCACCGTGACTTATGACAGATGTTTTGAAGTTCTTATTAATATAGCTTAATTACAACTTCGTAGAAAATTTTTAGAAATATTGGCAGTACTGGTAAGTACACATACAAGTATACATAATTCTGCATAGATTTTATCTATATAGAAATGAAAGATAAATTAATCTAAAAGATTGCACTAAACACATATGACTGACTGTAGTTTGATCACAAGTTTTTCTGTTTTAGATTTTTCCGTAGCTAAAATACATTCGTGCGCTTTTTTAAAGTAATATGAAGTATTTCAATATTTATAATCTTATCTAAAGGCAATTTCACTTTTTTAATCATTACTTATTATTTCTACAAAATTATCACATTAACTACCCCGATCTAGTATCGCTATATCAAAGTTCAATAATATACATATAATCCAAATTATTTGCTTATTTGAATATTTTCTTCTTTTTCTATTCTTAACATATACATTAGAAGAGAAACTTCAATTTATTATGCATTCAAAGTAAGTTAGATTATTGAGAATTATCAATAATTGTCAGTAAGTCAAATTTTTAAATACAAAACCTATACCTTGTTAATATTTAATACTTAGTAATATACTTCTCACTCTCTGGCAGGTATATACAATTTTCAACAATGTTTATTATATATATATATGTATATGTTTGAACTATATAGTACTTTTTATTGTACAAAGCTATGAAGGTATACCTTCCTTCAGAAATTTCGACAATTTGTAATTTATTGTCTCCTCATATGCTCAAATTTGATCAGTTTGCATAGAAAGACAAACTTCTGAACCTTTTATTATCAAATTGTACAATATCTTCTTCAAATATTATCACCTATGTTTTATGATGCGATTTATTAATCGTTCAACTTGTCGATCAATTCTTAATACCATGTAAAGTGATGCCAATACACTGCATAAGGTTACTAAAAATCCTAAACCTTGAAATATTAACTTTGGTGCAAAAATTTTCCAAACCATTAAATGTCGGCAGTGAATGGTTGCAGAAAGCATGGAAGCAAAAGTCTGAAAAATTTGTAATTAAACAAATTAAACAAATCTTACTTTCAAATATTTATATATATACACCAAATTATTAATAATATTACAACTTACTCTGATTCCATGAAACATTATATACTTTCCTGAGGCAGAAAATAAAGCCCCATGGAAAATAGATTCTTGTTCATATAATACAAGTTCACCTCTTTTCATGTTATCTTCACAAAATTTATTTTTACACAAGTTTGGGAATATGAGGTATAGCGTAAATGGAACAATCACTAATAGAGGTAACATTGCTCCCAATATAATGTGTGATCCAAACGTATTGATCCCTATATATATATATATAGACATTATGTTTTTTTTTAATAATTAGAATTATATAAGGCAGGTAAAAAATCAAATTAAAATAGAAATGAATTAAAAGATATTTACCAATAAGAATTGCTGGTAGTAAATTTCCATGAAAATGGCCACCTGTTCCCACAAAAGCAGCATCCCATTGAATTTTAGGAAATGCTGCTTGATGACCAGTTCCATAAAAGAAGTATTCAACTATCAGAAACCAGCAAAGAATTGTTGAGGTAGGTACATTGACAAGATCAGCTGTTTATAACACAGAAATAATATACTATGAAAGACTAGTAATAACATTAATATAACACATTCCTAAATACTCACAGGCACTGGTTGCATGGTTATACCTCTCCAAAGCAGATAAACTCAAAACTGAGATACATGTGATAAACATTAAAAAGGTACTAGGAGATAACATATCACCTAACAATAATGAATATAACAGTGTAAGAAAAGTGTTCAGTGAAATAAATGCAGCACTGTACACTGTACCCAAACCATAAACAACTGGAGTTTCGTCGATATTCGTTTCCTTTTGGCATACCGATTCCTTTATCTTTTCAAACAATTGGGGAATTATATTTTCCCTTTGATAAATATTTATTGATTCTTTTTTCTTTGGTAATAAATATACATTAAGTGGCCGATAATAGAGGATAAATATAGAGAACAAACATATCGCATACACCATGTTTGGTAATGCATTCATTTGCCAAGAAAGAGATAATTTCATTTTAGATAATTTTGGAAGTCTTTGTAAAACCCAATAACATCCGATGCAAACACCACTAATCACTGGACAATATTGACCTACAATAATGCTAAGCGAAAAGCCTGTCAAATTTCCACAATTTCTTAGCCAAATTCTGACAATTGTAATGTACGATGCAAGTACAAATAAAGTGATCACTAATAAACTACGTTCTACATTTTGTGGTATGAAAGAACCAATTTTATTACTGGCAGACATCGAACAAACACGATTTTGATGTTCTTCACGACATTGCCAAAAATAATATGATAATCTGATTGAAACACAAGCTAAGAATACAATAATGATTACAATCGTATTTGAATTTGATTTGTCCGATTGTTTGGAAAATGTTTTTATTCTTCTTTCATTTTTGTTTCTTACATTATAAACAAGTAAGCAAATTAATGTAACTAATAGAAAAGATAATACGTTATTCTCTTCAACGATATAACTATTAGAAAATAAGCCACAGAAAGTTAATATGAATATTATTTTACTTAAAAAAGTTAATACATTAAATTTACTGTAATTATAAAAATTCATAGAAATGACATCCCAATTTGGAATAATTATAGCAAGTAAAAGTAAAATGGAAATTGCACCAGTGGCAACAAATATAGTGTTTTTTAAATCTGTAATAATATCAAAATAGAACAAGGAGATAACTATCATAACAGTTGTTAAATTTATTAACATTGACCAATTTAAAAATGAAGAATCCAATATTGTAGACATACGATTCTCAGGAATACCATTTATAATCAAATAGAAAAAGAATAAAGTACAAAACATTAAAATTAATCCTTTCGACATTAATTTAGAATCAAATTGTACCCAAACTTCTGAACATATGTCTTTAAGTTCTTTAAAATAATGTTTAGAATTTTCTACAAAATGTTTAAATTCATCTAAATTATTTATACTATCAACTTGACTGGATAGAAATGTAAACATATCTTCTAACCTTTGCAATTGAACTTTAGTAAATGATTTTGTATCAGCTGCGTAAACATCTATATAATTTTTGGTTTGAACAATATTTCTCCAAAGACTGTGCAATGGATACGATAATTGATCTAATGAATAATTTTGTGAATTTTGATTCCCTGGTAAAGAGTCTAATATTAGAGATCCTAAATTAGAAAATGGTACAGGTATTCCAAGAATTGATGCCAATGTTGGAACAAGATCAATCTGATTTACACTTTCAGTTTTTTTAATTAAATCCTGATGCAAAAGAGGAATAGTTGAATATACAAACATGGCAGCTTCCGTCTCATTAGGACTATCTCCACCATGATCTCCACTCTCTGTCATACCATGATCACCAATGACAAATAATATTGTATCCTTATCAAGAAAATCAATAATCTCTTTAATAAGATTATTAGTATCATTTAATTTTCTAGTCATCTCAGGATGCTGTGAACCATGTTTATGTCCACAATGATCAACTCCAAGAATATGTGCTACAAGTAATGACCAATCATTCTTTTTCATTTCAAAGAAAATTCTATATCTGACTTCACGATCAACAGTATCAAGATCCCATACGTTAAATGACGGAGAAGGAAACTGACGTTTAAATTTGTTTGGAAATAAATTAATCCAAGTATCATCACCCATAAAAACAACACCCTTATTAACAGTTTGTTCAATGAGATTGTCCTCGCCAATAGTTCCTGAAGCAAAATTTGAACTAATATCTATGAATGTTGGTAAAGATCCTGCAGTCAGACCTTGAAGACGTTGCATCGTTGTTGTTGGTGGATCTGCTATGAATTTATACAAACGAGAATACAAAGGCTTTTTTTCTAAAAGTTCATGAATTATTGGTAATTTATTACGATGATAGGATGTCATTGAAGCATTGTCGTTATACCAAGTAGCAAATTCATATTTTAAGGCATCGACTACAAGGAGCACGACTCTAGCTTTAGGTTCTAAACAAATTGTAGCAGCATGCCGCGTATCTTTAAATATATTATTTATATTACAATCTTCAGATGCTGTGCAAGACTTGCATTCTGCTCGTTCTGGTCTAGATACTCGATTAAGAAGAAAACCACTGGTAAACACTAAAAGTCCGGCTGTCATCAAATAAGACATCCATACTTCAAATAAAATGTAAGCCCATAATTTTTTCATTTTGACGAAATTTCAGTAATATTATTATTATTATTATTTTATTTATATTTATCAATCTTCAAAGAAGTCTGCATAATGTTTCATCTACTAATCCATGATTATCATCCAATTTATCAACCACATTGTTTTTAACACATTATTTCTAATAACACTCAAACTTAACATGAGTTTTTATTTGGATTCAATTTAATGACGATTAAAAAACTTATTTAGGAATCAGCATGAATGAACGAATATTGATTTTTTACAATTCACTCATTTCCGAATGTATCAGTACAATACTTTTAATATTATCGCATAACTTTCTATAAAAACTATTCATAATTTAGATTTTCATTGTTCCCGATCTTTAAAAACTAATTTTATGTTAATGATACGGACTTAGAAATACAGGGATGTGACACAAACATGCGGGGTGTGTTACAAAATATGGAAGGGGGAACAACGATCCGCCATTATAAATGAACAATATTGAAAACTAACCAAACTTACTGCAAGCAAAAAATTTAATCAATTATAAAATATCATAATATATTAAATTAATTAAAAGAGAGAATAATCAAAAATATAATACTCGATTAACAACAACAAATTGTAATTCAATCACATTTCTCAAAAATAATATAAATAATAATAAACTATAATTAAATTATTTTAGCAATTAATAATATCAAAAAGATTAACGATAAAGTTAGAAATTATATCAGCACATTGAGATAATGGTTTTTTTTAATAATATATAATTTATTCTAAGTCAAGAATCTTAATTAATTTATATTTATTTTGTTAATAGATAAGCAAGATATAATTATAAGCTATTTCAAATTAGGCGCGCAAATCGTTCAGTTGCGATGTTGCATTATTATTTTCTTACGATAATTTCATAACTTTAAAGAGATTCGTAATATCATAACAATATAATTATAAAACATTAAAGTTATTAAATATAAATTTATAAAATACAAATTTCTTTCTATAGTATAATAAATACGAAAGAATTTATTCGAATCTTCTGCATTTCCGTAATTGGAAATTCATCTTGTTGTATGAAGCAACGTGATTGGTGGATTATAGAATTTTCAGTTATACCAACAACTAGGGATTCTATAGGAGGGATGAGCCATGTACATTGCTGGGGGACCGGAACTCGATTTTGCGCGCGAATGATTCAAACATTGAAATAATTATGAAATAATGAATTGCATCAAATACAGAAAAAAATGAACTATATTTAATGATAATTAAAAATTTATAAAAATTATTATAAGTTCAAGCGGTCCCCCAAAATTTTCAGCCAATGGCACATGAGCTGAATATGATTGGCGCATCCCTCCTACAGGATCCCTACCAACAACGAAACATCAAATAAAAACGAGTCAATTTATTTTCTTACAGTTTGCTGCAGCGGAAGTGGTTGTTCAYATTGTTCTCGCATGTTATGGTGTTATAGTCGTCTCTTTAAACTAGTTTTACTTTTAGTAGGAAACTTTCCAGTTTTGCTGAATGCTTAATTTACTGTAAAATTAGGTCAATGGGATCTTGTGTGAAGTCGAATTAGAAGAGTAGAAGAAAGGATTTGATTTTCTTCCTGTTTATCTCATTATTCAAGTCATCGTATTTTATGTAAGAATATTTTATTATATTGAATCTCCATTTTGTCATATTCTAAACATTCGAAAGTGAAATTTGACATTTTCATACTAACGTACTGCGTTTATTTTCTACCATATTTTACCACCAACAGTGTTCGATGCATACGGTACGATGATTAGTGATCTGTAATTGGCGTTACAATAAATATTTCTGTGGTATTTAACAAGACTGATTGTACTGATTATACTGATTAGAATGAAGACTGCATCACGTATTGCTGATCGTAATCCTCAATCTGATAGATTGCATAGCATGGCTGAACGACTTGGTTTAGGTCCTGAAATTCGAGAATTGAAATTAGGACCTTCTTTTACTAATAATAAATCAACAGCATTCCATACGCTTAAATGTAAGTAACCATCTGTTCTACTTTACATATTTCTTTTTCAACTCTGTTGATTTTATATATACTTTTCTTGATATATTAATGCAAATGTTATGTTCATTTTTCAGATGATTTCAAGCCAGCGAGTGTAGATGTATCTAAAATGGCGAGAGTAGATGTTGGAACAAACAATACTATGATGGTTACTGTTCCACATTTAGACGGAGCTGGTATTCCTCATACAGTGTTCAAAGGCTCTCAAAGGCCACACCATAAAGATTGTGTTCTTATTATTGATAGAAAAACAGGAGAAATAACTTTAGAAAAATTATCTGCTAATATTCAAGTTAAAAAAACAAGGTGTGCCTTTATCAAATTACTCGTTAACTTGATAATTGTCTATTTTCATTGTTACGTATTTCAGAACAGAACCAAAGTCTCAGTTGCATTTAGGAACTTCTACTACAAATAATAGTAGTAGTACTGGCAGTAGTAATACTAATAATAATAGTAATAGACCTATTACACCTGTGGAAACTAAGAAAAGTCCTACGCATAACAAACTTATTAATAAGTCAAGAGTTGTGAATCGTAAGAAAAAGGATCGTGTTATGCCAGTCCATTCAAAGCAAAACAGTCCTCGAATATCACCGTATCATGGAAGAAGTCCACAAAATCCAATGTCCGATAGGTATTAACTAACATATACATTAATATATATTAACTAATTATTATAACATTTAAATAATTTTTTATTTATGTAATTTAACAGTTTGCCAGTACAATCATCGACAACGCAATCAACTTTAGCTAGTCTTCCTATGATTGGTTCAGAAAATGATGATTTTCCAATGATGCCAGCGATGACAGCAGTACCAGCAATGCCAGCTATGCAACCAACGCAACCAATGCAACAAATACAACCAATGCAACAGATGCAATCAATGCCAGAGATGGATAATAACAAAGAAGCTCTTAGCGATTCAAGTTCAGGTAGTTCAAGTTCAGACAGTTCTGATAGTGATTCTGATGCTGAAAATGTTCCTGTATCAACAGTGACTAATGGTAAGTTTTAATACATTATTTAATACACTCTTGAGTTTATAACACCATGTGAGACTTGTGAGACTTGTGATACTCTTTACAACTCAAGTATGAGAAACAAATTAAGTACAGACTTTGTTTACAGTTTGATTTTTCAATGAGACCACGATGACCATCAGTATTTGGAATGTTACAAATCACATATATAATCTTTTATATCATGATTTAACAGAAACTTCATTCATCTATACATAATTAGAGTTTTTTTTTTATCATTTACATCAAGAGTTCCTATTTAACATAAGTTCCTATTTAAGACTGAAACTGAAAGCATTATACAAATATGGCTGTGCATAATTAATGTAACTTTGGTATTATTGTTTTTAGGTCATCCTAATAATACAACTTTATCACCAACTTCATTAATGCCAAATAATTTGTTAAATGAAGATTTACAATTGTCAGAATCGGAATCTGACAGTGATTAATAAAAAAAGATTTGTTCAAATCTTAGAAACGATTTTAAAATGCGATTTTAAATGAAAAATATGTATGCGTTAAATACATTAATATTTATTATTTATAATACGATATATTTAATTGGATGTATGCTTTAAGACAAAAAAATCTTTAATAGTATTAAGCGTTAATTTTTAATGCATACATCATTTGTGAGATTACTCTTATTATGGTGTATTTTCTAATCAATGTGGATATATTTATAAAAAACAAAACGATTAGAATATAATCCCATAGATATGCAATTATATATAAATGAAGATATTCAATCTTATAATAATTGTTGAAAAGAAGGCAATCAAATTTTATTTCAAACGTAATCCTGAATACAGTTAAATATTCTAATACACAAATCGATTTTAAAGTAATTCAAATATAATAGTATATTTACATTGTATTATTAATCCTTTTGATAATAATGACAACTTACGTAGTTTTTCATTTTACAATGCAAGCAACTAAAGTTATTGTAATTTGTATCTTTCTTTGAACGTGCAATAACAACAGAGTATTAGTATTATTACTAAAAATGATTATTCCAGTATAATTTTTTATTGTCTTTTATTGTATCATTACAATTACAATATATCATTGTAAAATATACTATTGTTTATTATGTTAATTAGGATATTGTTTCTTCGAAAATTTGATGAAAAAATGAGTTTTTGCAATGAAGTGTGATATTTGGCCACTAACGTGGACATCATATAGTGTAATATATTAATATGCATCCTTATCGCAGTGAGATTATATCACAACGAAAAAAAAAAAAAACAACAAATGTTCTTAGGTTAAATATTATTTTTTATTAATATTTTGTCCTAAATAAATTCTGTATGTAAATGTAAAAAAAAAAAAAAAAAACAAAAAACAAACAAAGCATAAAAAGGTTGTAAAAATGTTAAATAATTAATGTTATTTAAATACCACATGGGTAATCTTATAATACAACATACCATGATTTAATAGAAATTTTATTCATCTATACATACTAAGAATAAAAACTTGCTAATAAAATTGTTAATATAAATCATTTATATATCAAAGAATTTCTATTTTATTTTATTGTTCATCTTAGCATTTAAGAATTGATGATCTATATATAACGTTTAACCACCCCTTCGCTACGGACGTGTTTTCCGTGGAGCTACTTCTAATATACAGGCTGCTAATACATGCAACATCCAAACTGTTCTTTATTTTTGAGTAATTTTGTTGCTGATATTAACAATTTTTAATGAAAAGAAACTAAAATTATATGTCCATAATGAGATATTTGGTGTACTATAACTGCATATGTGCTGCGTTGTATGTAAAATACGCAACACTTTATGGAGGACCACTATAGTGGCCTATAGTATCGAATGGGTTAATATTATTTGTATCCTATAAGGGAAGGAAAGAAGGAGGTAACTGTAAATATCGAATGAAAATGAAAACTTCGATACTTTGGGCTAGTTTTATTAATTCAATTAACAACGCGTTTATAATACTCTTCGTCTCTTCCTTCTTATTTATAATTATATAATTTTAATGAACCGTTATTGTTTTCTTTAGACCCGTCGTCTCAACATCTTAACATAACTCACCCATGTTCACGGACACGCACACTATTGAAGCACGCAGGATCATCACGATTATTATCTTAAAATCATCATTGTCCTTTATTATATCATCGTATATCTTTTATTATATCATCGCCCTTCATCATAAGTTTACCATTTCACCGTTTCGTTATTTTTATTTATCACCATCCACCAATAAATTATCATCGTAACAACAGTCATCGGATTAGATTTATCACTTAACGCACCTAGTGTATTTTTTAAACTGGATATGGCAGCTACAACTTATAAGAAAAAGTAAGTGTATTACAAAATTCACTTTTAACGATTCGTTCTTCTCGCGCAGTTCCGACGATAATAATTAATTCTTATTATTATTATTATTATTATTATTATTATTATTATTATTATTTTTTCTTTTCTTTTTTTTATTTCTTTTTTTTCTGCTTTTTTTGTTGTTGTTCGTTTATTCATTTAATTTTTCTCTCTCTTCCTTGTGTCATCCCATGCATGCAAAACACTATCATACCGACGGGCTAATTAAGTAAATCTAACTTCTTGTTTTCTCTCTTTTTGCTCTTTCCCCCCTTCCCCCGCCCATTCTTTTTCTCTCTCACGCGACGAAAAAACCCCCATTGACGTTTTAAATAAAACGTACGTATGATTTTTTTTTTTCTTTTTTACGAGATCTGTTTCGTTAAACACCTTCGACTATTTCATCTCGTGCTCTTAGGACTTAAAAAATTGTTTTAAACGTTAAAACTTCTTCCTCCATCATCTTCTCTCTCTCTCTCTCTCTCTTTCTTCCTAAACAACATCGAAGTTTACCTGAGAGGATTGGATTTCGACTTTGTTTGTTTGTTTGTTTGTTTTTCTTTTTTTGTATTTTTATTTTATTTAATAAATAACATGATCGGCGGATCCATATCGAATCTTTTTCATTAGAAACGATACAACGTGAGTAATATAATACGAGCGTATATATCATAATTCTATTCAAAATTACTACGTACGCCACAGTTATATTATTCGTATTTATTTATATCAGGGTTGCGTCAATTTATTTATTTTTATCCGATGAGAGAATACACTCCCTTTTTAATTCTTCAGTTTCACTTGAAAATAAATAATATTTCAAATTTTAATTCTTGTTTTTTTTTTCTTTTTTTTTTCGTATTAACACTTTGTTGACTGGCTATTTTTTAAGAATTTATCTCATGTCACCGGCTATTATTTCGTTATTGAATTGAAAAGTGTATTTCGTAGAAAAAGTAATGAACAAATAGAACCAATTTGATTACTGTAGTATAGAAAAATATCACGTTCATTCATAAATGTTCATTTAAAGTTTCATATTTTTATATTTTAACAACAATATTTCATATTTCGATAAACATCGATGGAATTTTGATTTGAAAATTAAAAAATTGGAAATTTAATAATTGTATTGCTAAAAAATTTAAGAAGAATAATACAATAATAAAAGAATTTGTATGATTTTTATATTATAAACAAAGTATACTAAATAATAATATTATTTCGTGATAAAATAAAAGAAAATATTGTAATAAGATAAAAAAATCGCAAATTCAAAGATGATTTACTTATTATCTCTTTTTATTTATTTCTAGGTGAATAATTAGGGGAGGAATTTACTCATCGGATACAAAATAACACGACTACCCTAATCTATATATATATATATA